GAAACGGGGAACGATACCATAATGTTTGCAACAATTAAAAAAGGCCAAATGGCAGGATTGACTTACAATTATTTTCTTTGTCCGGTTGTAATTAGTGCATTGTTTGGCAATCTTACTTTCATAGTTTAATCGAAGGTATGAAGACCAAGATGGTGGGGCCTTTTGTGTGGTCGCAGTCTCCTTTCGTTGTATAGAAGTTGTTTGACCTTGTTTTCGCAACTCGGTTATATTGGTAGAAAGACTTAGAAGAACACACCTAGTCCGGAGTCTATTTTCTGCATGATAATTTCCAGAGTAGGACCGTGGACATGGTACATTCCTAAACGTTTCTTCGGCATCGTCAGTGAGTCTCGCCATTCGTAGCACCATATTACAACTCGTCAAAGAGACAAGTGAAGCCCGTCATTTGACCAAACGTGTGCTAAACAGTTGTGGTACTCTCTTCTGCCTTGGCCTATTTAAATTTCCTATATCTTCCTATCATGTCTTTCCTGTCACAATTTTTACCGTGCTTATTTTTGAAGTAGTGTGATGTGCTCCTCCGAGCGGCATTAAGGAAAACCCTTCACACTCCACACTGTCGTCACTCCCTTCATCCTTGTGCTAGGAACGTTGCTAGAGTCTGTCATATTGTTACGTAGTCCTTCCCTGGGTCCTATCAGAGTCTACCTCTTGCCCTGTCGAATCCGTCTGCTATCTCCCTGGTACATGTATTTCACCCGACCCCTGCCCCCCCCATCTGTACAATTCGATGCTTAATTCGTTCAGCCCCTGCACCAATCGCCGTCTCGTCTATCCTGTCTCTATCCCTAATACCAAGTCTATGACTTGCATTGCCCTAGTTGCTTATGTGCCAACCCACAAATGTTGTGGTACTGCTGGCTCTGTTTTGGTTCAATGTTGAACTACAACGTTTATAGGTTGGCACACAAGCAACTAGGGCATGGGAAGTCATAGACTTGGTATTAGGGATAGAGACAGGACATACCAGGGTTTTTCATGAATGCCGCTTGAAGGAGCACACCACACTACATTAAAAATAAGCACGGTAAAAATTGTGACAGGGAAGGCATGATAGGAGGATATATGAAATGTGAATAACCCAGGGCAGAAGGTGAGATACCACAACTGTTTAGCACACGTTTGGTCAAAGAATGGGCTTCACTTGTTTCTTTGACGAGTTGTAATATGGTGCTACGAATGGCGAGACTCACTGACGATGCCGGCGAAACCTCTGGGAATGTACCACGTCCACGGTCCTATTCTGGAAATCGACATGCAGAGAATGGACTCTGGACAAAGTGCGTTCCTCTATGTCTTCCTACCAATATGACCGAGTTGCGAAAACAAGGTCAAACAACTTCTGAGAGATTCTTCAAAACCTAGCTTCTCTTCATATTTGGAAATAGATTTAATGGGAATCGTTTAAAAAAATATTTTTATCTAAACTGATTTTGTAAAATTAACAAACCTCTTATAATTACTTTTTACCCCTACGTTCAGTGTAATTCTTGCGACTCTAGGCGCTACGCAGTTAGTTGGAACTTTTTATCATAGTCGAACTTTTTCTAGACATGTATGGCTGCAAGATTATATTTTTGCCGCTTTTGTAACTTTTCTAAGGAACGATTCACACAATGAAATATCTTATAATTGTCGTCTTAGCAACTATAAGTTTAGAGGTTGATATTTTTCCAGATTTTTGACTTATTCCTCTTTTTAATATTTTGTGCTTCAGGTTTCAAAGGAGAGGCCGAAAATCATCTTAGCCAGCCAATCAAAGCGCCTATGTCTGATTCAGAGTTCCGTCGCTTTATGGACTGCAGTGGACGCATCATTCAAATGTCTGAGTTTAAGTAAAAAGCCTTCTTTTCATTATCTTACTCTATATTTTCTTATTTCAAATTGCTTAATAAAATTATAATTCAAATTCTTAACTAGACGGAGTGTTTACATGGGCGGTCTGGAGCCCTGCCTACGAAAAGTTGCTTGGCGTCTATTGCTGAACGTTTATCCAGCTGAGATGACTGGCAAAGAGCGAATCGCTCTGCTAGAGAGCAAGAGCCTCCAATATACTGATATGCGTGATGCCTGGAAGAAAGCTTACCTAGAGGCTCGTCTCATCGAGGAACAGCTGGCCAGCTTAGCACTTGTTAGTGTCGATGTTGTAAGAACCGACAGAAGTAAGTCTAGAATCACAACTCTCCAAATTTGGTGCATTCCCCTCATTCACATAAGCGGTGTGCTCCCAGCTTTCTTCTCTCATTCACTCACTTTGACCCCTGAAAATAATTCTAGTATTCCTATACTTTCATCGATAACATAAATTTATAAGCTACCTTCAAGTTGTTTCTCGATTATCTCATTGCATTTATCTCCCTTTACTGAAAGGAGAAGAAGAAAGAAGATTGATAGTATAAAAATGTAGCATATGCTAGGTTTCAAATAATTGCTGATTTAGATATGTTTGGGAGACTTTCATTTCGTATGAAAGTGCATTAAGAAGAGATTCATAGGTTGATCCCACCATAGGACGACAGCTTAATTCCGTTGTCCTGCAGCCGTTTGGCTCTACTACGTTCAAGTTGAGGCAGTCCACGAGACATCCTTCCACGCTTCGGGTGAAAACGGACTGAGCTTTCGGCATCATTAGAGCAGGAACTCATTCTTATAAAAATCTCACGCTAACACTAGTTCGAGAAGACTATCCGGCTTCATCTTACCTCTTATGCATAGTCATAACCCAAAATGAAAAATGAACATAGATAGATGTAGGATGGCTTAGCTAATTATCTTTTATACTGCTCCTGCTAATTTGGCTCATGTGTGTATGCGTATATATATATATATATGTATGTGTGTGTTTTAACGTCTATACACAATACCGATCCAATCGTCCATCATATGATGGACATCATCAGCCCGTTTTCACCCGAAATGAGGGAAGATGTCTC